TATAAAGTATTAAGCTGGCCAAACAAAAAAGTGGAGATAGGAAGGTTTTTAAAAATTTCTTGCTTTATTTGGCATAGCATATTTGAAATTTGCAGTCGAGTGAACATTTGATTTTCGAAGATTTAGGCTCTCGTAATTAGTTCAGCATATGCATACGCCAGAAAATTCTTCCTGTGAGGTTTATATGATTTTTTACTGGGAAAAATAACGGTTTATTACAAACGCGTATCAAAATATTAAATTTAATACTGATGCATCCCAGTTAAATTCTAAATTTCTTTTTCCTCATTCTTAATATACTTCTTATAAAACCGCTGGAAATTCCAATATATTAGCATTCGCACCTCATCCCATTTCCAAGAGAAGGTTCTAATGGATATTGCAGCAGCAAAATATGGCACTACTGGTAGTGATGCATGGAATTGCTCCACACCATGTACGATTTGTCGTGAGTTGAAGCAGAGCAAACAACCAGCTCCAACACCGCAACTACAATTAGCAATTTTAGCAGCCCGCCTAACAACCAAAATAGCCGACAATGATGCTTTATTCCGATGCAACGCTGAACTCGCCCAAACAAACCTGAGACTGCAGAATGAGGTTGAAGAGTTGAGGGAGCAGATGACCAGGTACAACACATCTTCCAGTAACATTGATACGTCAGCTACCAACCAACAATCACTACAGCAACAGCATATCCCAAAACAGCCTTCGAATCAATCAATCAAACAAAAAGCGATGTATATCGAAGAAAAGGAATTGATTTGGGAAACAGGAGCAAAATTAAGCATTTCGGAATTCCAGATTGCCTATCAGCAACCTTCATCGAATCAACAGATTGCTGGATTTACAATGACGAATGAGATCCAGATGACAAACCTGATAAAGCCAGAATCCCAAAAACAAGATTCGGAAAGTTTGGAAAAGAAGTTGAATGCAACGAAGGAGTACAGCAAGGAGCTTGAAGAGAAAAATGAAGTGAAAAATAACGCTGAAAGGTTGGATAAGTGTCTGGAAGTCTCCGCAGAGTACTGCTTGGAACGTGGAAATAAAGTGGAACAGCCAGAGACTGAATTGGAAACAAGACAGCATGAAGATGCTAAACATAAGCAGAAATTGGAAGTAACTCGGATCACTAATGAAGAATTATTGTCACTGAAAAGCCAGAATATGCAGCTAACGGGTTTCGTGAGAAATCCAAAACAAGAACTGGAACTGGAAAAACTGGGGGAAAAGTTACAGTGTGAAAATGAAGGAATACATCACAGACTGGTGGGGTTCACTGAGGAATTTGAGAAACAGAAAGAGGTTGCGAAGGGAAAATTAGAAAAAGACGAACATAAAGCGAAGGATAGTGATTGGATTTTGGATGGTGCGCCAGGAGTGTTCCAAACCCTACTTGAAGAACAGATGCAGGATATTCCTCGGGATAGTACCATCAAGAGAAGCAGAATGCAGATATTGCGGAAATTAGAAGAACAACTTCAACAGAAGGAAATCGAGTTGCAAAAACTTCAGGAAGAAAATAGATCTCTCAACGAACAGTTGAAATCACAGCAACAATTGATTGAAGGGTTAGAGAAGAAGCTCGCTGTAACACAAGGATACAGCATGATACTGCAAGAGAAAAATATGAGCATGAAACAAGAAATCATTGATCGGAAGAAAAAATACGAAGAAGTGGTGATCGAGAAAAGCAGATTAACGGGAAAAGTAGAAAATGAAGTGAAGGCGGAGTTGCTTGAAGAAATTACAGTACTGAAGCGGGAGAATGAGGGGTTGGTTGAAGAATTAACCAGGAAACAGGCTTTTCTAGACGAGGAGAAAAGAAACATGAAAGCCGAATTAGTAAATTTAGAGTGTCAGTTAGCGAATCGTGAAATTCTCCTACAAGAGTTAATGACAGAATTAAAACATACACAGGAAGAAAATATCCAGATACGACGACAGCTAGACAATTATGGTGCGCAAATGAGTGAGCTACATCAAAAGAATGAAGTTACTCAGGAATTCCGTCAACAGCTCGTCGAAGCACAAAAAAAAGCAATCAAACTGGAACGTAAGCTGAATCAAGTGGTGGAGCAGAACGGGTTATTGAAAAATGGTGAACAAAAACTGATGGATGCTCTTATGGTTTCCAACAAACAGCTCGCCGAAATGGAATCGAAAAATGAGAGGTTGGAATCAGAAATTTTTAATCTACAGGCTTCATTATTGAAAACCGCGGAAAAAGCCAAAAAAACCGATCGTCCGGAAAAGTCAGTAATGCACGATGCAAATGCAGTGGTCGAGATACATGGTGAAACAAGAATAAGGTAAATTTATCGATCGTTCATCACAAATTATTATCAGTGTTGGGGAACTCCTTGTTGCTTAGTTTCTTTTATTGGCATAAAAATGTTGCTGGAGACCCTTAGACATGGATAGTTCGATGTTATGTTCAAATTCATATTCAAGGGCTGCTTATTCATCACTATTATCTTAATTGTTATTATGAAACATAATTGTTATCACCGCTGTCATACTAAGTTTGACATATTCGTTAATGTTTTTAATTGCAGTTCGGCAACGATGCAACTACACAACGCTTTTGTGGAGGAAAGTGCTCAAGAAATGCAGACGGAACTTAGTGCTTTAAAAAAGGTGATTTTATATGATCGTTTTTCACCCTAACGTTTTGGCTTTTTATTTGGATTTTAAATTAATACGAAATGTCCTTAATCTATTTTTCTGCAAACTCTTACTTTTAATATCAAAGAATCACCCACATCTGTAATATTAAATTCGGTTTTTATTTATTTTTCCGTAGAAATCGTTTTTTTTTCCGCTTTGAAAAACAAAGCTTTCATTTATCAATCGACAAACGAACGAACTGAGATCAATAGTAGAGTTTCTCGATAAGAAATTCTAGCTTTTGGTAATGTTAATTTTTTTTACTGAACTTTAAACGATTTGTAGATTTCAAGCATAGAACCAATAAACTTGACATTCTTAAGTATTTTAAATGAAATTGCAGTTTTATTGAAACTTCTTTAGTCAAACAATGGTTTTATTCACAAATCAGTTGAATGAAATTTGCTATTTTTTTTGCCAACTTTTGACTAATTTCATAATTTTTATATTCAGTCCTTCGAACCAGCATTACAAAGGACGACTCACTGTTTCCAGCAGGTAATTATGTTTGCTTGCTTTCTTTACTTTCATAAAGATGATTTTTTTTTCTACTGGTTGAAATTCTAAAATTATATCTTGAAATGAATATAGGCTCGTCAGATATCACTTCTGCTTAGTTTGGTGACGCTTGTGACTGTGCTGGATTTTTTTTATGAAAAATTTTTAAACTCTTTCTATTACACTTTCCCTGCTTATCTTTACATTGGCTGCGCTGGATGACGGAAAAATGGAAGCGGAAGAAATCTCATTTTCTAAGTATTATTTTAGGAATGTAGAATTTTTTGGACTTTAAGGCTTTTTCAGAATGATGATAAGTTGCGGCGGCGAAAAGGTGGTGGTGGTGGATTTCAGGGTGCTGAAAAGATATAGCTAAATAAATAAAAATAAAGAAGAGATAATTTGCCTTCAGGACTTTCGCGTCTTCTGTGACCCTTTATTCATGTTATTTCTTCATTCCATCAATTTGAATTATTTTCTGTGCTGCAATTCGTTATGCACTATTTCAATATTTTTAGTTCATCCAGTTCGCTGTGACATCTTTCCGAATTTGCTGTGTAGGGTTTTGCAGATATCTCTGATTATCATTTTCCTTCCATGTTCTTAAGTTTTCAGTCATATCTATTTTTACTTACTTCATTTCAATTTGTCGTATAAGACTATTTTTGCCATTAGGTATTTATGTAGTTGTCGCTTGAGTATTATGCAAGTAGTAGAAGGAGTTAGTTTTATTGGTATATAACTATGCTGTCTTGTTTTCGAGCTATTGAACAGTTTCAAATGAACTTATTCTTCGCCCTAACTAGCGTTGTTATTGCTATGTTTCCCTTTTAGAAATCCAGCAGCAAAAGGAGATCAAATATGAGCACATCCGCACTATTTTTGTTGTATTTCGATAAACTTTTTCGGCAATTGTCGTTAGAGAGGCATACTGAAAGAGGGAAAGTACTTTTGTAGAATTATTTAACTCTTTCGGTGCTATTGCAACACATACAAAGTAAAATGGTACAGTCAAATAATCGTAAGTCATAACAATGAGTGCGTTTTGAACCAAGCAGAAGTGAAATAATGTATTATAGAAATTAAATTTCCTTTAGAAATTTTTTTATAACAAGAAATTGGAAGGAATCTTATTTTAGAGTAGTCTGATGTCAGTTAGACTTCTCATGGAAATACAGGAGAGACTCCTGTCACTTGTAATTTCTGGAAGGAGGAATTCGCTCGATATTGTCTGGACAGAAAATTGGGTGAAAGCAGCAGAAGCTTCCATAGCTATGGGTCCAAAAAAATATGATAAGAAAAGGCAGCAGTGATATTTGTGCTCAGTTTGGGGATCGAAGGACTGCGACAGACAATTCAGTAATAACAGTTCCGGGGAAATTGGCGAGTTTCGAATCAAAAGCACTCACTAATCGAGAAGATAAAAGTTTTGTTGATGGGTGGAAGCAAACATCGAAAGGATTGAAGTCAGGGGCAATTGAAGCAGAAGTTGAGATGATTTTAGCTGATGCTTCCTATCAGGTTGAAGATTTAGTAGTTTCAGTTAACAATGAGACTTCATTTTCTGAGAATTCTGCCAAGTTCTCTTCAAAAAATAGTTGCAACGAAGTAGTGATAGTATGGGATGATGCCGAAACGCAATCCATGGATTCCTTCAGTTGGGCAACGAATCCAGAAGATGCAAAAGAGATGAAGGATATTTTTTTCGTTGATGAGAGCTTCACTCCGTACACACTTTGTCAGATGGTAGGAATGCTAAAAAATGGTGGTCTAAAATTGGAAAATCCAAAACTCTCTGCAACACCAATGCAAACCAAGCGCAGTGGTGAATTTAAAGAAACTATAAGTCAGAGAGAAACTTGCGAAACTCAGTTTGCTGATTACTGGAATGGAGTCGATGTTGAAATTGATAGAAAATTTCAGGCATATTCAAATTCAATAGAAGATATAAACGAAATATTCGTATGTGCCGAACCTGCTACACTAACCAGAAATAGGAATTCTATATCGGCGAGGCTAAAAAATGCTTTTAGAACTATACATTTGGTGAGTTGACGAAATTTCACTCTCAACTTACAGAAAGTTCAAACTTTCTTTCGCTTTCATTAGCCAGCATTTGGGACAAATTATCTTCATATATCACACAATGCTTTGTTAGAAGACTGATCAGAACGATCAGCATTATCATCTGCTGTTTGCACACCGAATTTGGCCTTACTCTTGATTCCTTAAAATCCAGTTTTTAGTCTCTTGATTGGTTAGGCTTTCGATGATTTAAAAGAAGACAATTTGTGTGCTGCACTTCGATGATTTTATTTTCACTTATTTTTAAATGAGTAATGCTTTTGATTTCAGCTAGAGGAAGGTATTGAAGTGGATGAAATGCTATATGATGTAGATATTCGAAACGTACGTTAATCTTAATTTAAAATTCTGATTAGTTATGCTTTTCTCATTGTTACCCAGTTAGCTCTTTCGCAAAGGAAACTTTTTTCCTGGAACTTTTTTAACCTTCAATTAAGCCTTGTTTTTATGAAACTGCTCACTTTATTATTCAACTATAATTAATGATCTACTCAGCATTATGTTGCTGAACAACAGAATTTGAAATCGGAATCTAGAAAAGCCTCAATTTATACGTCAAGAAGACTTATCTTGCACGTGGAATTGGAATTAGAAGTTGGTAATTTCAATGTTGTTTTTTGAAATCATCCCATATTGGTGGTAGAATTTGTTAACGAATTTTTCAGAATGAGCAAATGATTACCGCATCGAATCCCTGGCCAAATCTAGCGGATCGGCTTTACCGTTATTTGCGTAATTTGCGACATCGACGCAACACTGTTCGACTAATTTTTCGTTATTTGCTTGTCTTATATTTCATTCTTCTACACGGGGCGTTTTTTCGGTGTTTCTCGTTTTAGATTTATAAGCAGTGTATCATCATGATTCATATTGCGCCATCCAATAAATGTAAATGGGAAAAATAGCTCTTATCCGAAACTTTTATAGAAAGTGAAATTCGAAATCTATTCTGTCTATTTATTTTGTCCAATTTTAACTCTTTATTTTAAGGTTCTCTATTGATTCGGCATAAAGGGGCATATTACAGCAAAGTACGCATTAGGCGATAACAATTCCATTCATATGGCAATGACACAGTAATAATGATACAAACAGCGAAGACAAGAAGAAGAGGTTGAAGGCTTGCTCTTGAGATCAACATAATCAACAGGATGATAACCTCGCATAACAACCAAAAAATCTGAAATTTCAGAAGTGAAATTTCATTCACCGTGGAATTGTTGGCATATCTCATTTATACTGCATGAGTACCAAATTAATCTAACAAAGAGAGACCTCAAATAGATATGCTTTGCATATCTAAGTAAACATTGAATTTGTCACACTAATGTCTCGGTAGAGATCTGACGCATGTAACTGCGAACAGAAGAAATGTACCGAGAAAAAAATATGCGGTATGAGAAGTAACGGCAAATTGGTGAATAATCCAATAAGTAAAATAAGTGTGCATAGGATCCAGCAAAGTGTAAGCACACAAATCATAGTTACCACCAAACTGAAAACAAATAAGTTGTCACATTTGGCTTATCAACTGCAAAAGCAATCCAAGAGATGCTAGCAATTACGCGACATTCTAGAGGATTTTACTTTTTCAGGATTTCGGGATTTTAGTTCCTCGATGTTTATAAAATCTCATTTGGATCTTGCGGAGATTTTATACAGGCAGCAGGTTGTAAAAATGCGTCTTCCAACTTCCGAAAAGTTCAAAGTGTCCTCAGATCTTGTTGTTAGTTCAGCAACGATTTGTTATCTGTCATGCAAATCAAAATATTATCAAAAGACACAAATATTTTATGTCTTCTAACACAGAAAGATTAGAAATTAAAAATAGAAGTTATTTAAAGATTCAGGAGCAGAGTGGAGTGAATATTTACTAAGTGACTGGTCCAAGTAGAAAAGGAACTTACCGACTTTCACCATCATGAAAATCGTGAAAATTGCGGTGAAGCAAGATGGTGTTTTCGATGAAATGGCTAATTGCAAGCATTAGTTGTATAATAGCCAATATGGAAACAACCTTTTTAGACGGAAAATATCTTGACTCCGAATTAAGAGGGAATAATTGTTTTTGCTGCCTCTTTTTCTCCCCTTCCTTCTTCCAATGTTCCGGCTGGTTCCCATTCATCTTAACTAAATCGTCTACCACATATAATGAATTCAACTGAGACATCCATGTTTTAAGTAAATAGTTTGGAGATGTTTCTGATAGAAATTAAAAAAATTACGAACCCTCACTTCCAATTAAAAGCGACTTGAAATTGTGACAGTTTCAAAAAGTTTCCAGAAGAAAATGGAAAGCCTCAACTTATCCCAATGCAAATTTTCTTCTAATCCGACCATACCTCGTTTTTTTCTTACACCAGAACCTTTTCTCATGCTTCTATTTTCTCGGTTCATCTCACCAGCTTTTTTCGTTGATAAATACTATGGTATATCATTTATCGCTTCCTACATGTTTTACTACCTAAAATTTGATTAAAAAATACCACTGATCACTGTCAAGTAAAAAGAACCATTCTTCTATCAGCAGAGTTCTTTTTTTCCATCGGAAATTTGATATTGTAACTGTTTGGGATGCTTTATTTTAGTATTTATAGCTCGTATGTTTAGGTGACTGAAAATGGAATCTTCCTAGTCTAAACAAAAATATTTTCCCAAATTTCTGTTCCGAAAATATGAAAATATTTTAAAAAAAAAGTTTGGAATCAATTTTTGCAATTCTTTACCATCTATTTCAAATGCAACTCCTCCAAGATGCATCGTTTTTATCATCTGTTTGCTCGTTACTGAAGCTTAAGGCTCAAATTTTGACAAAATTGGCTGGAGAAGTTATTTCCTTCACAGTAAGCTTTGAAAAAACTAGACATTTCCAATCCTTACCCACAGCACTTGATGTTTTGCTCCTTTTAAATGGAACTAGAATATTGTATTTATTTTTTCTTGCATTTTGCCTGTTCAAGTTAAGAATAAGAAATATTTTTCTATCACTTTGGTTTTTCCGGTTGGGTCAGATGAGTAAGCGAGCAATCACTTATTTCAAAATTTGCCAGTCTTCCTACGAAAAGCCTAGAATAATAGTTTTTTTTTAAAGTCTGACATTTTCACTTCTAGCTCGCAAAGGAAGTACTGAACTCGAATCTACAAACTAATTCCCAACTGAATTTACTATTGGTAATCGATCTAATGATGCAATGTCTTTAAAACCTATTCAATAATACAATAAAAATAAGGTTAAACGACTCATCAAACGAATTCTGAGCTGACAGTGCTTCTTAATAATTCAGCTAAATATTTGCAACTCAGTAAGTTAAATTGTTCACCTGAACAAAAGAGCAAATAGTATTCTCACCTGCATGAAGTAAACCTAATATACTGTACCCTCCCCCCCCCCCCCCCTTTTCTCCCGAAAGGAACTGTAGCTCTGATCCTAACAACTTTCTCCTGGTTTTAGGAAAAAATTCTATTTCACCAATCTCCGAACATTGACCATTAATTTTTTGCTATCATCAGTATTTTGGAGTTAGCTTCACAACAGTGAATCAGCGAACAGCTGTGATGCAAGGCAATTTCTAATTCTTGAATAACTATGCACCAGCGATAAAGTTTGGTATTCAGACTCAAAAAAACAAAGTAAAGGTAGTACTAACCTGAAAAGTGAAATTGAAAACTTGGAATTAGTACCGATTTTACCGCAAATATCTATCTAATTCAATGCAATATCACTATGGCAGATAGCGACGAAAGAGCTGTGTATTGAAGTCGAAATGTTGAAGATTTAACAGCAATTTTTTCAAACAAATTTATTTTTAGAGAATTTAAAAGGCTTCTATTCCAAAGTCCATGGACAAAACACTCGAAACTAAGAGTCAATCAGGATCTTGAAATGAGCATTAACACAAAAAAAAAAAAGAAACGATACTCCAACTGAGAACTGAAAACAACAAAAGAGGAATTGATGAGATGATCTGCCTTCATTTATATTTCTCTTTTCTCGTACAAAAAGGAAAAAGCGAACAAATCCTGAGGGTTTCGACTCCTCGTCAGTTTTTGAATATTTGCAAAACCATGCATGATTCATATATAGTTCGTGGTATTTTCTGAATGAAACATCTTAAACAGGTAAGATAATGTAACATGTGAGAGGAATGTTTTTGAAAGTGGTGAAAAAGGAGCCAAAAATATTTCTTATTTTTGAATAATCAAGTATCAACTACAAAGATTGACATTTAAACTCCAAACCAAAGTTAAATTAAATAATTATATCACTAATGGTAAAACAGGTCAAGCAGACGCTTGCTTTCCCTTTTTTTGCATTTAATATATTTGATAATGTTCATGTTGAGGATGAAGCTAACTCAGCATTGTCTCAAAAGTTTTCCCATTGACCTAACAGACTTAAACTAATTAGTGGATGAGCCACGCATTTCCCAACCCGCGACCCCACGAACATAATATCGCCACCTTTCGCCGCCCTTCGTTTAACAATAGCTTCAAACCAATGCAATTATGCATTCAAAACACCTCCCGCAAAATAATTTCACGAAACACAGTCAAGATCCAGTGAACATAACAGCAAACGAGATTTCCTGTCGCGAAGTGGTGGTATTCACCAATCCATTGAAATTCTGAAACTCCCTCCTTTTTTTCCTCCTGTTTCTCCTTTTGCCTGGTCAAAAGCCGCGATATCGACAAGCAGTGACCATATACCTTGCTTTAGGTGTAAATGCAAAAAAAAATTTATTGATAAACCTGAATTCTTTTCAACAAAGCAGGTGAATGGCATGAAACATCGCAGCTTACAAGGTAATCATTAAACATTTAGTAATGGCTAAACAGGAAATAATAATCAAACAGAGGCGAGAAAATGCAAAAAGAATTGAAAAAGCAAAATTTTCAAAACCTGGTAAATTTAGAAAAGTTACAAAGTAAACAAATAATGTAGCCCTAATGAAAATATTTTGTTAATATAATGCAGTAAGAAGGCTTTTTTAGATTCCGAAAAATCCTAAAATTCCAACACTACAATAATAATTTAATTTCAGTCCAGAGCATTTCTGACAAAATATTTCTTTTTATCTTATACCTCTCTAGTTTAGTACCGCGAAAGACATATTTTCATAATTAGGAAATATAGTCTGCGTAAATTACTACAGACAAGTGGGAACAGAATGTGCCATAATCCCTGCAACTGATGATATTAAAGAAAGCCCATTTGAAGAAAAAAATTTAATGGTAAATTTGAATTACAAATATATTTACGATCAGTAAAGATATTTTCGCAAAGATTTCAACTAGGTTTATTATCATTTTCTAATATTCTTAAAGCTGAAATGATCAATAACTACCTCCTAATGAAATCTGGAAGGTAGATTTTCTTTAGTCAGGATGAGAAAACAAAAAGAAAATGAATGTAGCAATGCAAAGTCACACACAACTGCTTCGAAGGAAGGCTGTCAAGAATTTAGGACTGAATAAAAACAGGTCTAACCACACATAAATATAAAATAAAAAGTAACAGTTAATGGTTACTAAGTAAAAAATAATGAATGCAAAATATGAATTAAGAATTAAAACTGGATTGGAATTATACAGTGTTTGGTTTCTCACCACGTGCAAATATTGCATCTCGTCCAACCTGCACTACTGCCGGATGGTTTTGTGCATGTCTCGCATTCAGATTAACAGTATAAACAGCACGCTGATAGCGATTACGGAAAATACCATCATAGATTAAACCATCGTCCCATTTCACCTTGATCTTCAACGACATTCTAATTAGTAATAATGAAACAAACACTACAAATTAATCAACTAAGAAATCTCTGGAATATACCACGACAGACACCCCTTTACCTTAAGCTTTTGATTTGAACCAAAGATATACTAGATCATACAAAGATTTCATCCCTACGCGCTTTTAATACAACTTTGCTGAATACCCCTCCAGTCTTACTCCATTGAAACTCCAATCTTTATCTGACATTGCACCACTTATTAAGAGACAGCGAAATATGAAATGGTGATTAGCACCTCAATTATACTGCTCTTATACTTCATGAAATTAAAAAGATTCACTAATATATTTTCTATTCAAAGACTTAAAATTACGGAAATAGATAAAGAATTGATTCACGAAAGTTCCTGAAGTATTCATACAAAAATAACGAACCTTAGCTCCTGGAACATGCCATCCATTGCAATTAAATCGCGAGCACTCACATTCAATAATATCTTCTGATGGCAAATCATCACTCCAGTTACGATCCATAAAATTTACGGTACAACAATCATGATATTCAATACTGGAAACCGTTCCTTTGAGTAAACGACCACAGTCATTAGTACACACACGAACGTTATCGCCAATTGATATTGCTGATGTATTTACCTCACCTGCTAATTTTAGGGTTTTCATTTAAATATTTTCTAATTTTTCATTTACTTCTTAAACTCGTACAAAGGATTCTGAATTAAGAATACTATTAAAACAAACTTATATGTATACTCTCACCATATAGTTAAATAAGAATCGGTATTCAATATTGAATTTCTTTTTAAAGTCGAACTAACCCTCGTTATGCTCAGGGCAGACAGCAACGGTAAGATCTGGCCAGTTACGAAATTCGAAAGAAACGCCTGCTAAACGACCACACGTTGCATGAAAGAGTGTATCATCACAAGAAAGACATTTCAACAATCCTGGAACATTACCTAAGTTGTAACATTTTGTACTTCATCTATCACTGAAATCACTGATACTTCGAGCTTCATTTGAAACTATCTGTTCACCTTCGCGTGAATGCAAGCAAAACTCGCATTCAAATTTGCCCCGTTCATAATTCTCGCCAAAGGCCCCCATATATTCCTTGTTCATAAGATCTGGATACTTGTTCGGCGCGCAAAACTTTGGTGGTGGTAAAGTGTATGCTGATGTTAGTTTCAGTGGGTCCAGAAAAACTGTACGACGATTTAACAAAGCACAAATTACATGAACAAAATCTCCTTCACTCTAAAAGTAAAGCAATCAAATGCAAAAAATTAACGAGAAAAGAAACTTTTTACCCATACTTCAGTTACTTGAATTAATACATGCTTCCGATTTCTTGATAATCACCATAATTCCAAAATTAATTTGAGAAGACAAAACTTTGTCTTAAACATGGAAAAGTCGAGAGTCAAAATCACTAAAAGATAGTAAAAGGCGAACATTTTCGCAAAGTATAAGAGCGCCTCCACGTAGTTCGCATAGATGACAACTTGCTGAACGTAATGATAAATCATCTCGTTGCCTACAACGTACACATTTCCATTGAGTTATATCTGGAAAGAATACTTCATGAATTCATGGAGATTTAAAAATCGCAAGTGAAGAATAAGTCTGGGATGGGATCAAATTTGATTAAGCTAGGAAGAAAAACATAACGAAAAGAACTGTAAACCAAGCTTTATTTGTGCATATTTCTAAATACTGATTAACTTGGAAAGTAAATTTCCATTTTAAATACAGTATGAAAACTAACCATTAGGGATATTTCCAATTGGATAGCAACCTTCATGTACAACTACAAAGCAGTTTGCGCATTTGAACAATCGGTCATCACAGACAGTGTCATCCTCATTTATACTGTATGTTTCAGGATTTGTCTTCGCATAATATGCACGCTTTACAAGACGTTTCGATCTGAAATATATTGTCTAGAAGTTTAAACCGGAACTAATGTAACTGCAGCTCCATACATAAAATTGAAGTAACGTAATGC